TTTATAATTTCAAAAACAATATCACGAAACTAACTCGTTTATATAACTGAATATCAAATAGATCATTAATTTATTTGGATATTTTGACACCGTTTTCGAAACAAGTGCAATTTTACTTGTATCGCCATTATATTTTAAAATTGTAGCTGTAAGCTAAATTCATTAACCTTAGAACTGTAGCGCCTCTTAAATTAAGGTCGTTTAATTTGAAATCGTCGAAAGCTAGTTACAGTGTGCTTGGATATATGTCCTCTACAGATAATAAAAGATAATAATCGATATTAGAGCTGGTATAATATAAATTAACATATTTCAATTACTCATTATTTTACAAGTCCTGTAAATTAATTTGAAATCGTCGAAAGCTAGTTACAGTGTGCTTGGATATATGTCCTCTACAGATAATAAAAGATAATAATCGATATTAGAGCTGGTATAATATAAATTATTTCAATTACTCATTATTTTACAAGTCCTGTAAATTATAAATCATTTATGCAAATGTAATATATTGTATTTGATAAGTAATATATTATATTACAATCATATATAAAATTAATATAAAGTAACAAGAAACAAATTTAATTTTTTTTAAAATTGAAAAAATAACTGAACTTTTGAAATCATATATTTTTTGTTTTATGTGTTAACTTAATTTAATGAGTTTTACGATTTAACGATTTGGTCGTGCGAGTAAAATTTCGTAAACTGGATGTCTAAAGTACTGATAACAAACCGCTTATACTATGTTCAGACAATGAACTTAAAATGAAATTAAGTTAATTGCGAAAGTGTTTATAATGCCCCAAATTAAGGAAATCATGTGTTTTTTGTTTACAAATCGAATGTTTCAAACACCATTTGTATCTGGGTAATTTTAAAAATTGATTATTATAACTATAAAGGATTGCATTCAGTAGTTTTATTAGCTTTAGTAGATTTCAGGTATGTGGATTATTATTTGTCACTCTATTTTAAATTAATAACACTTTCGAAATTAACTTAATTTCATTTTTACGAAATTAAAGATTAATTTGGCTATCTGGACATAGTATTACTGTTTTTTCTCTATATTCAAATTTAAAAATTTATATTATAATTTCTCTTTTTTTTTTTCTTCATCTTGTAGTGGAGCATAGCGCCTCCGATTTGCATTACATTCAAAATATTTTCGCGGTTTTATCACAGTTTACTGTCACTGACATTTATTTAAAAAATGTCCCTTTTTCATTATCTCAATTTTATCTTTTTCTTAAAATTTATCTTACGCATAGTTGCATTTGAAATGTCCTTAATATTTAGCCTACGTTTACTTAATTTCGTTCTAGCCTTAAAACTAAATTTTGTATGGAAGAAATAACTTAATTTCGCTGAAACGAAGATGAAATTAAGATTTTCGCAAAATTAAGGTGTGTCTGAACATAGTATTATTCGTTTATTTATAAATAATATAAGTTTGATTCATTTGTTATTTAATTTTTATACTATAATTACGTATATATCTCTTTACAGCAAAAATTATTGTGTTGTGTCAGTTCTATACGACAATTCCGATAAAAACTGTAGGGCTCATTCAGCCAACAACAACATACATAGGAGTATACAAACAACTGCTTACCATCGCGCAATATTGATGCAATAACCGAAGAACTACGCTTGAGCACTACGTACTGTTGGCGAACGAAGAGGAAAACAATGAAGAATTGCCAATATTTCCCAAATATAGACAACCTACAAGCATGAACTATGCGTGCCATACGGTGCGCATAAATTAAGGAAAACCTATCTATCCATACCAAACCTAAACAATTCAATAGATAAGTTGATATTTAAGGAATTAAAAAATGCAACAAAGAAAATAAACATGCTTAGAATGTGGCAAAAACAAAAACAAAACAAAATAGAAACCAACAAAATATAAATTGTTTTATATTAAAGAAAACAATTGCAACATGAGCGTCAGATACGGGAGGGAGGTCGCGCTCATCCACATGTTTTTACACACATGTACCGATGTCACCTTTGATGCACATAATGTATGCACGTAACATTGAGCAACGCAACAGGTAGTTGGTTGGATAGTGTTTTAGTGTTTAGGCGTACAGTATGCTTAGAAGCTATAAATTTGTATGGCTTAAGGATCGTTTAAGTGATTGGTTTGGTGTTGTTCTTGTTGTTGTTATTATTGCGATTGTTGCGGATGGTTATATTATGGCGCAATGGTGACGATATTGACAATGACTACTAAAATGACGACGATAATGTTGTTGACAAGTGCGTTGTTGTAGTGGTTGTTGTTGTTGTTTTTGTTGTTGTTGTTGTAGCAAAATAATAATTTTGTTTGTTGTTTTTGCCGCTGAAACTTTTGTTATTGTTGTTGTTATTGTTTGAGTTGTTGCCAAAATGAAATCAAAGTTTATATCGTTGAGTTAAGCATTTAGTTGAGTTTGGACAGTGGCTTTAGGAGGTTCGGTAGATTAAGAATTTAGTATTGTGAATAAAAAAGAAACGTTGTGTTATTATTAATAAAGAATATATACACAAAATGATAAATGATAAAACTCAATAAAATGAATTGAGCTGTAAAATGTATACATAAGAGTGGCCGTTTAAAATTTTTTTATATATAAAATGAATATGCAGAATGCAAATTGTACGTGATTTTTAAGTTTTAAATATAACGAAATAAAAGTAATTAAAATTTAAAAAACAAAAAGAAGTATGATTTAAAAATAATTTAAATCATAAATAAAAACTTTGTTGCAAATTTTTAAAATGAAAATAAATAAAAAAATTAATTTTATTAGAAAAATATTTTGGTTGAAAAAAAAGAATATATAATAAAAATTTTAAATTAAAATTATTAATATATTATAAATTCAAAAACAATACTAAAATTTTAATACAAAATTTTTAATTGGATGTAATATCCAATTAATGAAAATGTTGAGTGATTTGTAATATAAAATGTGTAGTTTTCACACTACACCATGAATAATTTAAATTTACATTTATGAAAGCAAAAGTAATGTTAAAATAAAAAAATTTAATTAGAAAAAATAATTTTATTTATTTTTGGTCAAGATTTTATGAGAATTAATAAATTGTGTTCACAGGGCGAGAGACGTTCCTTGTAGTCCAGTTCCTTATTCTTAGTTAATATTAAAATTAATTTTAGTGTTAACTTAAAAATAAATAAATAAAATAAATAAATAATAAATGTTGTTCAATATTAAAAAAGTTGTAGTTAATTTTTAAATTTAGATTATCATTAATAACAAAAAAAAACTAGTTTGTGGCTGTTCAGCACTAATTTGTGTCAGGGTGAGAAATTGCGCCGAAAGTTCTAATCCCAGTCTAATATCAATCACTTCAAAACGGGAGACATTCTGCTAATTCGAAATGCTGTTTAGCTGCTGTTCGAATAGGATAAACTGTTAGAACTCTGCTATGATCGTAATATTTCGCTCTCCGGGAGGCTAAATTCCTGTGAACTTAAATCTTATCTCTAAATCTTAAATCTCTTCTAATATGTATCAACATAATCAACTATAAATACATATGAATAGAATATAATTGAGTAATGTTACATTAATATACATATATATAATTGCTAAGTGTAGTGCATTTTTCAAATTAAAAGTGATGAGGTGTTTTGAAATTCTATATGTAAATTTATTTCAAGTGATATATTAAACATGCAATTTTTAAAAATTTTATATTAAACTGTGAGCTCTTCATATTCAGATAATATTTTCTTTAGCATATCCACCGGTTATAATTCGTATATAATTATGTAAATATGAATTTGAATTTATAGATAAATAAGTTTATAATAAAAAAATAAATAAATATTATAATAATTTGATCTAATTAAATAATTTAAACAATTTCATTAATCAAATTTTTATATGAAATGTATATATTATATATGTATATATGTACAAATACAAAAATTTGATGTATGTTATACAGTTTCTAAAAGTGTTTCTCTCTAATCTGCAGATGAATTTTACCAGAAAATAAGATAAGAAGCGTCACTCTCCAATCTTCCCAAAAAGATATTAATGCAATTTGTGATTAAAAATTATTATTAACTGGAATTTTATATTATAAATGGTGTTTGATAAATGGTGTTGCAATATCCATGAAGAATAAATAAATTCAATTGGTTTAGAAATAAAAAAGGCAACTTTTAAAATTCTTCAAGACCAAAAACAAGTGCTGCTAAAAGAAGAAAATTATTGGAAGAGTTGACAAAGTAGTCACATAATGCATTCAATATAGAAAATTTATAAAACTTAGAAAAATCAAGAGGCAACATTAAAAAAATACATAATTAATCGAGAAGAGGAAATGAATAAATTAAATTGTGAATCGTGTAACCAAGTGAAACGACTAACGACAAATGGTATTGACCACCTTTAATGGTTGGCATTTTAGAAGTGCGTGCACATATATAATATGAACGCGGTATACGACAGTAGTATGAAAAAAGTATATAGAAGACTTCAACGGAATTCAAATGGCTTAAGTAACAAACTAAGCAGAGACAATATCGTGTAGTGCACAGTAAATAATAAAAAATAGCTGAAAACACTCATTACAAATACTGTTCACATAGTTTTGTTTTTTTTTTGTCATCCTGAAGTAGTCAGTTTTTTATTTAGTTTGAAAAAAAACAATCATTAAATAAATCAGTACCAAGCGTTCGGTATGTGCACAATAAAAGCAGTTGACAATTTAATAGCTAAATAAATAAAATAAAATAAATTTTGAATATAAATAAATTAAATTACTATTAACAGTTGCGGTTTTTGAAAAATACTTCAATAATAATTCAATACTTATGTAACTAATTGTCTGGTTTGGCAAAAATGGCACAGGTAACGGTAAAAACAATAGAAAAATTTCTAAAGATATTGTTATATATAAATTTGCATTTGATTATAATAACTGCCAAAAGCTTAAACAACAACAAAGAAGAATATAAATTTAAACTTGGCACTGAGACTAATATGGTGCGTAGTGTACCCTTAAATTCTGATGTTGAAATAACTTGCCGATTCGCTAAAGTAATTTGGTATAGAAACGATCAACTAATAGAAGCAAATAGAACTTTAAATTTAAGATCTATACAAGCCAACGACATCGGTACCTACAGTTGCTATACTCCTATTGAACTTCATGGTTTAAAATGGTCGAACCTTACACTTAAAATAACAGACCCACTCTCTACGATCGAAGACGATATTGCTGATTTTAAGCTTGTCTCATATGACGATACTGTTAATATAGAAAATTCGGAACAAAATCAAATTTTCGATCAACCTAGTGAAGATGAATACATTCACAAAACAGTCGGTGAATCAGTGAAATTTAGTTGCGGTGAACAGTATAATTCCATTTACAACGTTACATGGTCATTAAATGACACGTTACTCGATAACAACGACGTGCATTACAAAATGAGTCAATGGTCTTTACTGGTTGATAACCTAAAGTTTGTAGATCAAGGTATATACAAGTGTTTTTTATGCAACAAAATTGATTGTATGGAAAGGGTCACTATGCTCGTAGTGCATGCGTTTAACAGTTCAGCTCCATATGTCAGCGGTGCATTACAAAACCAAACTGTTAACCTTAATGAGCATGTCACATTTGAATGTGAAATTATTTCCGATTTAACACCTTTAAATTTTATTTGGGTGAAACATCAGGAGTTGAATATACCAAAAGTATCTTTAGAAAAAGCGCTTTTGCAATATCAGCAGACACTGACTCTAAGTTCAGCATTTATGAAGTTACCTACTAACCCAGATTCGCCAAATATATTACGTTTGGGTAATGTGCAACTAGACGACCAGGGTTGGTATACTTGTATTGCCTCTAATAATTTCGGCTTTGCAAAAACCAGTGCATATCTATCAGTTTTTGCAACTGCTGAGCTGCATAATGAGACTATTATCAACGAAACACTTACGTATGTCCCAATAGCCGTGGATAAATACATCCCAAAAACAAAATTATCAAAACAGGTTTTAAAAAGTAATAGTATGGAAATTTATAATCAGGACATACAATCTACAGCGATAGATAAAAATGATATTGATAGTGAACACCATAGTGAGTTGGATTTTGATGCAAAGGAATCGACAGACTACAGTGGCAAAGAATCTGCACCAGAATTTAAAAAACTGAATCAACTGCATCCACTTATATTGAAACCCGCTGGTAGTACTGTGAGTCTAGCATGTGTTGCCAATGGGAATCCATTGCCAAATATTACTTGGTCGTGTAATAACACAGAAATAATACGCCATATTGGTAAGGTTACATACAAGAAATGGTCTGTTACAATGGAGGATGTCATTACTTCTGATACTGGTGCTTACACTTGTCATGTATGTAATAAACTTGGTTGTCGTAACTACACTACCAAACTTATAGTGACAGATCGTTTACGTTCGAAACCAATACTTAGTGATAAGTTTCCACAGAATCAAACAGCTTTAATAAATAGTAGTGTGAATTTTAAATGTGTAGTCGTTTCGGATTTAGAACCACATATAGAATGGATTAAGCACACCCATGCTAATCGAAGTTCCACAGATCTTGCAAAAGATATTCCTATCATATCCAATAAGGAGAATAATGAGAACAAGGAATTTATTAGATTACCTACCGATGCGGATCAGAAACATATACTGCGTTTAGAAAATGTAACGCACACTGACGAAGGTTGGTATACGTGTATAGCTGCGAATAATTTAGGTCAAGCTTCAGCAAGTGCATATTTAAAAGTCGTTGACAAGTTGCCTAGTCGTGAAATATACACAATTATACGTAATCATCCACTATTGATAACAATAGTTGCAATAGTAGTGTTATTGCTACTCTTCTTTGGATCCATTTTCATGGTTTACGTTTTACGTAAACTTAAACATGAGAAATTATTGAAACAACGCATTGAGACGGTGCATCAATGGACCAAAAAAGTTATTATATACAAACCACCTTCGTCAGATAGCGGTAACTCATGTGACTTACAAATGCCGGTCATTAAAATAGAAAAGCAACGCACCACTTTTCAGACCTCATCCAATATGGACTCATCACAAGCTTTCAACGAATATGAATTTCCACTAGACTCAAATTGGGAAATAAATCGCAATCAATTGACACTTAGTTCAACACTTGGTGAAGGTGCTTTCGGACGCGTAGTCAGAGCAGAAGCAAGTGGTTTAACACATGCACCTCCAAATTCGACTACAATTGTGGCTGTAAAAATGGTTAAAGAGGAGCATACTGATGCTGATATGGCAAGTTTAGTGCGTGAAATGGAAGTTATGAAAATAATTGGAAAGAACGTAAATATAATAAATTTACTTGGATGTTGCAGTCAACAGGGTCCACTTTGGGTAATAGTCGAATTTGCTCCTCATGGGAACTTAAAAGATTTCCTTAAAAAGAATAGACCTATTTCCACTATTGGCAGCTCCAGTTTACAAAGATTTCGTAGTAATTTTGAAGAGGAGAAGGCACAGTTAACCGAAAAAAATTTAATCTCATTTGCATTCCAAATTGCACGTGGAATGGAATATTTAGCGTCGAGAAGAGTAAGTTGTCTTATTTATGTGTTTGTAAATACTTATGAGAATTAGATGTTATTTGTATTCCATATAGTTATCATTATTTATATTTTTAAATTATTATAGAACATATCTGGTTTCTTTATCTATATCTTTGTCATTATTATTTATAGTCAGTCTTGTTTTAATGGCACTAGTGTGTGCTTTTTTACTTAACGCATTGTAAGTAATATGGGAATCGTTTGAAAGTAATTTGAATATCAATTACATGGATTACACGGAAAAATTATTTTTTATTGTTATGTGTTTTATTAAGCACATAAAAGTAAAAAGAATTTAATTACCATCGAGAAAAAAAATTATTTACATATATATAATTCCATTAATTATGGAATCAAAATAAAAAATAATGCAGGAAAAAATCAATTAAAAAAAAACTTGAGAAAACAAAGCCAAATTTAAACATTTTAGAAAATATGTGATTTGAACCTGGGATTTAACTTAGACAAAGATAATCTATTGCCACATTTCGCGCCACAATTCTTGACTTATAGCTTGTTTACATTTAACTTTATTTAAATATTTCATACTTTATTAGATGTATTCGGTAGCTCCAAAAGGTGGTTAAAAACAACAAGTCGCTAGGTAATATATTGGCATCACTGTTGGTGTCTGTCATATGTTATGTTTTCGCAAAGAGCAAACACGTTTGGCTTAGAAATCAACATGCAAAGCAAAAACAAAATTCGCAAAAATAAGTCCATTTTCTTCAAACTGCTTAACGAATAAGCCATTGGCATTACCATAGTGCTAAATCTTAAAACCGATCTATTGTAAATGATTTTTCAAAGAAAATGGAAAATTCTAGTCAGATGACAGAAAAATTTGTTTATTATTTATAAAAGTAAATATATATCTGACAGACTTTCTTACACCGCGTTATCAAATCTCAGAATGGTTACAGGCTCCTCGGGGAGATATGCAGATCTGAGGTCAATTATTGCTTAGTCTAATGAAGTGATAAGCAATAATCCAGTCAAGGCGCAAAGAGGGGTTTTGTAGAAACCTCGCAGTTAATAGAGAGTAAAAGTGCTCAGGTGCACTGACGCAACTCAACTAGTCTGAACATAGTATATCTATTTTGAAATAGTAATTTTTTTTTATAAAATTTGTAATGACGATTGACAGACTATTGTATATATTATTATTATGACAGGGATTTATTGTTGTTGTTGTTGTTGTCGTTGTTGTGATTTGAGTTAGTGCTATTGCGCACTTTTACTCTTTTGTGGCTGGGGGGCTTATCCTTGCCCCACACTAAACTTTAACTATACTAGAATCATTATCATTTATTTATCTTCTAACTGATGACGGACCGTAGGTCAGCATATCTTCCTGTGCGTCCTGAGGTGGACTTAAGGTTTGTTAGGGCGGGGATGGGCAACGTATCAACTTTTGTGAATAATTTTAGGGATTTATAATTTATGTATTATGTTCATTAAAAATTTCAATACATGAATAAAAATAAAACACAGTCTTTAAAATAAAAACAAAAAGTTATAAGACAATTGCAAAAATGATAAAATAGTGTTAAATACTGCTCATTGAGCATTAACTAGTGATGTTAGACGTTTGAAAATTATACAATCGAATGTATTGACAACCTCGTATTGCTTTCTGATGAGCTTAAGCTCTCAAAAATTTCAAATATTTGGTCAATGGACCGGTCTTTATTCCACTATTTTACTAGGTTTTCATCGATAAACCCTAAAAAAAATTATACTTTTATATAAATTCAAATACAATATAAAGTGCTCATCAATTACTTTTTTGTGTTATTGATTTTATATATATGTATTATTATAAAAAACTTTTTTATAAAATTATCTGCAAGTATTTTTATATTTACATGTATTTATCCATCACAAATGTGTTTGAAATTTTTTTACTTGTCATATGTTTCACTGATTTGGCAGTGATGTCAAGTTATTCTCAAGTAACCAGAAGTTATTCTATTGGAGCAATCGTGTCAAAAGAATACACCTAATATTAAAAATAATGTTATTTTGAAGTGGTCATATTTTTCTTTTTGTTCAAGGAAATACAGTTGAAAAGAAACATTCCTGTATCGGAATCATTGATATATATTTTAATTTAAAGCGTATAATTTAAATCATTTGCGTTATAAGCTTATAACATTTTCATGAGAAAAAGTTAAATCCTTTTTGAATAAATTTTAATACCAATTTGAAGATGTATATTTTTGACAAATAATTAAAGATAATTTAAGTATGAATTGCTTTTGTTTTAATTAATTAAAAAATATTTTTTATTGTAGTGCATTCACCGCGATTTAGCAGCGCGTAATGTCTTGGTCAGTGATGACTATGTAATGAAAATAGCTGATTTTGGCTTAGCACGCGATATACAAGATACGGATTATTATCGCAAAAACACTAATGGACGTTTGCCTATTAAATGGATGGCACCAGAATCTCTGCAAGAAAAGTTTTATGATTCCCAGTCCGATGTTTGGTCATATGGCGTACTGCTTTGGGAAATTATGACATATGGTGAACAACCATATCCCAATATTATGTCAGCTGAAGAACTTTATAGTTATTTAATAACAGGCCAACGAATGGAAAAACCTCCGCGTTGCTCTTTGAACATTTACATGCTTATGCGACAGTGTTGGCACTTCGATTCTAGTTCACGACCGACTTTCAAGGAAATTGTTGAAAATTTAGATAAAATTTTACAAGTGGCAAATATTAACAGTAATGAGGAATATCTGGATTTGTCTATGCCTATGCTTGAGACACCGCCTTCGTCGTGCGATGAAGACGATGAACCTGAAACCTTTAGAGAGACTTCACCATTAAGATATCAGTACACTTATAAATTTAACAAGAGTTAAATTTTTTTTACATAAGTGCAACTTAATGAATATCCTGTTTCGAGATATATTTCAGATTAAATAGAAAGCCATATTTTGTAATTCACAAATACTCATATTATAAGTATTATTCGTAAAATTGTTGGTATGTTTAATTTTAAATTTTCTAAGCACGTAATTTAATCAAAACGATAAAGACTTAAAATTAGTTTATAAATTGTATATGTTATAATAATAATGTATTTAAGTAACTAAGCTTATTAAATTGAATTGTTAACCACACATTAGAGCTTTTCAAACTCTAATTGAAGATTAACTTTAATGCATGAAATTTAAATAAACTTGTATAAATTATGGTTTGCCATATCTACGTGTTATCTTTAATTTTGCCTCTTCAATTCAATATTTTAGCACTAAGGGTTATGTAGATGAAGGGTTATTGTTTGAAAATAGTGATGAATATTAATTGAGTTGAATGTGACATTACTACGGATCATAAGTAAGAAGTTCACATAAGGTTTAAGAGTACTTCTATGAATAGATAACTACATTTTATTTAGTATGTTTAAATTTCATAAAAGCATTTGTGAAGTATAATAATAGATAATAATTTCAAAAAATTGATTGCATATAAATAAATATTAAAACAATATTAAAACATATTTTTATTTAAATATAAAAGGGTGATATTTAACGTATTTAACTCTCCATAATCGTGATTAAAATTTGAATCAGACTTGAAGTAGGTATTCTCAACATGTTTTCAAATACAACATAAATTCAAATATAAAAACTGCAATCTTTTTTATTTGCTAATTAGTTTATGTTTTTTATCTTCATCCTTTTTACTACCAATATCGAAGTGACCATTTTCATCATTTCCTCAGTGTCATCCAAACGTATTTAAATTTAACGCGCATCGCTGGTTTTAATGACGCCCTTGGAGGTTTGTCGACTTTTGTGTTATTCCTGCCTCTGTACACTTTGTTCGCATTTTGCAATATTTGTTAAATATTTTTATATTTTTATATTTTTATGATACTTTATGTGACATTTACGGTGTGTGTCTTCCTTGGGGCCAGAGTTCTTGCAACAGTCCTCCGCACCGAACTATTGAATGTGATTTGCCAAGATTTTATTAAATCATTGTTTTTACTCTTCTTTTTCTGTTCACGGACAATTCACTATGCTGAACAGTGAAAGAATAAATATCAGGATTAAAATTGGATTTTTACTGTTGCGTCAAGAATTTGTTAGCAACGCTTACGTATTAAAATTGAAAATGGATTTGTCGTGTCTAAATTTGATTAGCATTGCGTAAAGTGAGAAAGACTAAAATTAAAAACGTGAATAATAAAAATGATAATAAAAATAAAAATAAAAATAAAAATTAATTGAGGTATATAATTCATAAATAAGTTTCTTTGTTAATTAATTATATATGATTTATATGTACAGTCAAACTTCCATAACTCGAAGTCCAATTTTGCAAAGAAAAGGTTCGACTTAAAGATTGAGAAGATTTCAAGACAGAGAATTTTTTTTGTGTTTTTGAAAGAAACTAGGATTACATTTGAAAATGTTTATTTATTTATTTGAAATCAATTACAGAAGTTATAGTGAAGTAAAATATTAAAAAATTATGGCTTTCCTAATTAGAATTAGAGATTCCAATTTATTCCAAGCATTATAGTGATCATCGGTTGTAGTATCATTCGTTTGCAAATAAGTATTCAGAATTTTGAATGAATCTTCATTTTCATTCTTGGAAGGCTGATGAACAATTTCATACACCGAATCCTCTTCATCACATTCCGATGTGTTTAGTATCGGATCCACTAATTTTGAGCTATAATGCTCAATAATATCGTCATCTGTAGGAAAGTTTGATGTACAAATTTCTTCAAACTATTTGGGCGTACAATTACTTTTTGCAAATAATTTAAAAATTCAATTTTTTTCTAAGTTTCATACATGGTACTTGGCAAAGGGCAATATAAAGTGTGAAATATTTTTATCCGGGATGAATAATATAGTATCAACTGTATGATTTTCATGAGCAATTAGCGGTTAAGACATCTTTCACTATATTTATATCACGTGTTAAATATAGGCTTTATTAAGATGTTTGTATTTGTTTTTAATATACATTTGGATATAGTTGCCTCATTTGACGGACTCGAAGCCTATCTAACACCTCTACTATTCTTTGGGCACCAAGTTGGTATCTACAATTGAACATTGAATGCCAGTAAATGAATAAGAGTGTGTGATGCCTACTGGATTTTAGTCGCCTCTTACTGCGGGAATATTATAACTCCTTTCTCGCTGAGGCCATTGTTGTATCAGAACAGTAGGAAAGCTAACATAAACAACGTTCTCTTCTGTAATCAGAATTTCAAGTATTGTACTGTACCGCAACAGCTCAGTACACGTCGCATTGATATCGTCTGTTCCAGCAGTTTTGAAGTTCTTAATGTTTTTAATCAATTGCAGTAACTTATGACTTTATTAATTTTCCTGAAGTATCTGTTCCACTCACTTTAATGGGTATTTTGGGAATGAGACGGTTTGGGTATGTTTCTTTTATAGCTGATTTTTCTTTAAAAGTAAGATTACTGTTTGTATATTTAAAGAATATATTAAATAATTAATCAAAGACACATTTCTAGTATTCTCATTAGCAATATATAACTAAATTTTAGTGCATCAGTCTTTAGGTGGAATATCAATTGTCGGCTTCAAACAGACATTTAGAATGCATTAGTGGGTGCAAGAAAATGTGAGTTAAAACAGATTATTTTTTATATCTTGCCTAGGTGAGGCTTAGTTAATCTATTCTACCACACAATAAATTTGAACAGCATTGCAAACCTTGGCCTAATGAATATATAGAACTTTTTTTGGTGAACGCCTGAAAATTTTGCTAAAACACTGTGGGAACTCTAGTATATGGTAAAAGTTGTGGTCTTTCTAATATACTAACACAAAATATTATGTTGAAATAGATTATATATTTTTAAGTCTCAATTTGAGTGGGTTTCAATAATCATATCCGAGATTTATAGTGTAAAAATAACGATTCTTGAATTATTCTGTTAGCTTATGTTATATTACAATCTAAACCTAGTTATTTTTCCTTGAATAGGACACAGTTTTTTAGGTTTAAATAAATAAAATTAAGTAAAAATGTTAAATTTATAATTTATATTGATAAGCTTCCTTTATTTTAGTTTTTACCTTATAACAGACAAATTAGGTTAGAACCTAACATGTTTCGTTATTAAGAAACGCGTTTACAGTACAACAGACCTGCAAGTGTTCGTGTTGCTAAGAGCTCATATTTATTATTCCAAAAATTGCATTTAATGTTTAATTAATTAATTAAAAATAATAAAATACAAAATTAAAACAAAACGTTTAGCAAATCTTTGAAATGAATTTTTCATTTGATCCAAGACTCTTTGATGATAACAGAAAAATGTATATATACATAGGCGTCTATATTGCATAATTGAAGAGGCCGATGCCTTAAAAGAAAGCAAAAACAATCGTTGATTGATAAACTTATGTCAAAATTAAGCAAAATAAGAGACAGACAAAGAGGCCTTAATTTGTTGAACTGATGAACCTATTTACATAGCGAATTAATATCGACAATGTGTGTGATGTGGTGATAATAAATTTACAGCAATTAGTATAAAAGGGCTTGTCCACTGGAGTAAGAACGTAGTCTCCTTCCGAGTGCAATTCAGTGTGCTCAATATATTGATTAAGCTTAAACAACATTCTTAATACAAAAAATTAGTCTATAAAGGTCTAACGATGATGAAATCCTTGATGTTCCTGACCTTGTTGGTCGGTTTGACAGCAGCAGGCGTGCTGAGTAGTAGCAGTAGGTTAGGACGAGTTGGATTATTACCAGATTACATTATTAATAATATGGGTGAGTTTAAAAATAATGATCGACAAAATTAAATGTATAATTATTGATAATAATTTAGATATTAAGCGTGTGCAACGTGTGACAAACGAAGAATTGATACGCCAGAAGTTTATACTAGATATTTTTCAACATGTGAATCAACCACTTAATAATCCAGAGATACTAGATTTAGCACAAGGTTTTGTTACGGATAATAATAGATATATCCAGGTAATTGTTGCATATGCATTGCCTATAAAAAAATCATATTAATAAAATGGAACTACATACTTTTATTAGGGCATTGATGAAGAAATGCTAAATGTTATTGAGCTGGATCGTCAACACAGATTGTTGCGCAAGACAGATACTTTCAACATCGTGGAGGAGCAGCAGTTACGTCAAATGATTGGTTTATATCGCTTATTTGTACGTTCAATAGATTGGAATGTCTTCCAAATGAATGTGGCTTATGCACGTATGAATGTGAATGGTGTTATGTTTGTAAATTCTTTATTAATGGCAATTAGAGATCGTGCCGATACTCAATCGCTGAATATTCCAAGTATTAATGAAATTTTACCTGAACTATATTATAAGCAGGAATTAATTAGAAAAGCGCAAAATATGGATTTGAGTGCTTTGGAAAGTGATACAGACACCATAAAACCAAATATAATGGATGTAATTGGTTTAGGGAGACGCACAAAATTAATGAACAAATTTTCTGCACTAAATTCGCTTGGATATTTTGATCGTTCTTCAATGTGGATGCCTTGGCGTGAAATGCGTATGCAAATGGCAATGCAAAGAACACCAGGACAACAACCTAAAACTATAATGCTTAGCGCTAATAAAATTGTATTACAAGATCAATCCAATATCGCTGATGACAGTACAGCTATGTTAACGGAGGATGTAGGCTTAAATGGTTACATGCAGGAACTCATTAGTGAATTGATTATTCGAATAAGTAACCAATTTAATCGTGTAAGTTTGGATCGAAATGTTGACGAATTAATGCAACAACGAAATGAATATATAGATTCACGTCGTCGGCAAATGTCTTTTGAAGACAATGAAGAACCCAATAGAGCGAATGATGATAATGATAATAGAGATATCTTTATGACTTCAGGAGTTAATAATCGTTATGAATTCCAACAAGAGCCATTGGATAGATCAAATATTGATACTGAGCGAATGCGTTATATTAGTAGGTTACCAACAGCAGATATAAATGACGATCGTTTACTATTCATAGGTCGTAAACGACTTTTAAGTGGTTTTAACAGAATGGATAAACAAAGTCAAGAAGATGACAATGATAAATATATTCAAAATAGTGAAAATGCTCGACAAAATGTTGTTAGTGCAGGAATACGAGACAGTATAACAACTGAACAGCAGAGAGTTGATCGCTTAAATATGAATTATGATCGTTTTGAAAACATGAATTCAGAAACGGAAAGAATGCGCATTGTCGATCGTCTTCCTACTGTTGATATTAATAGTGATCGTTTACTACCTATAAGTAATAAACGTATTTTAAATGATCTCTATACACCTTATATACGTAATTTGGAAGGACAGCGCGAACGCTTTTTAAGTATAGTACGTGATCAAGTACGTGATGGACGCCGCACTAAGAACGAATCAAACCGTATGGAACAAGAACGTATATGGGATCAGCGAATTACGGAAAATCATCGTCGGGGCATGAACTTGCAAGAAAGAGATGACGATATTCCTGTTCATGATCAGCGACTTGATAATAGAGAGCAACCAGATCGTGTAACGAATAGGCGTAAGGTTGAAGTTAAAAGTATAGATGATGAGGATGATAAAGCGTTTTTGAGAACAAGTCAAATAAATAATCTACCAACAAGAGATATAAATGATGAACGATTATTACCTATTAGTCGTAGACGCTTCATCAATATGGATGACAACGTTCGTGAAAACACACAGGAAGGAAATACTCAAGACGATTTGAGTAACATGCGTGATAAACGAATCCGTGATGGTCGGCGTGTTAAGGATCAAACAAATCAGCAAATTGCGGAAAATCGTCGTCGTGGCATGAACTTGCAAGAAAGAGATGATGATATTTCTGTTCATGATCAGCGACTTGATAATAGAGAGCAACTAGATCGTGTAACGAATAGGCGTAAGGTTGAAGTTAAAAGTATAGATGATGAGGATGATAAAGCGTTTTTGAGAACAAGTCAAATAAATAATCTACCAACAAGAGATATAAATGATGAACGATTATTACCTATTAGTCGTAGACGCTTCATTAATATGGATGACACTGTTCGTGAAAACACACAGGAACGAAATACTCAAGACGATTTGAGCAACAAGCGTGATAAACGAATCGGTAATAGTCGGCGTGTTAAGGATCAAATAAATCGTGGAAATCTAGACCATGAACAGCGCATAAGAGATCAACTAATGGATGAAACACGTGATAATTATGAAGATCAACATTTACGAACTATTTTACGTATGCGCAATATCAAAGATGATATGAATAATCCTATTTCAGAAGACTCCTACAAAAATGAACGATACGATGTCAATGAAATTCGGAATAGAGGCAATCAACTACCGACTATTGATGCCAATAATGATAGATTATTACGCTTAAGTCGTAGACGACAAATGGATTATGAAAGCTTGCGTGGTATGGAAAATATAGGAATGGATAGTCAAAATGATGATCAGAACCAATGGATTAGAGATGAAAACCATAAGAATTTGAATAGAAACGATTGGAGAAGTGATGAAAGAAAAACTTTTCAACGTTTTCCACGAAGTGCTGCAATGGCGGGAAAGAATGTGAACTCACAGAATGTCGGTGAAGTTTTGGTCCATAATTTGCAGCAATTGATGGCCCGATTATATATGGAATACAGTGCATTGAGTTCAAATAATAATCTAATGATAACTAACATATATAAGAAATTGAATGCAGAGCGTATGAACAATCCTCGTTTAGCCGATGAACAAAATGAACGCTTTGCTTTGCGTTTAAATGAAATGCGTTTAGAAACACTAATTAATCGCAGCATGATAGAACGAATTAATGATATAATGGAACGTATTAATCAAGAAATTGTACCTTCATTAGGTGTTAAACAAAGTGATATAAATATCTATGAGGAAACTAAAGAAGTTAATTCCTTGGTAGGGGATATTTTTATGGGAAGACTTATTAAGGGATTAAGTGTTTTAGATATATTGCGTGAGGTGATGTTGCAAAACATTGAAATTAATCAAGGTTCTACTATGGCTCGAATATCTTTAAGTGATCCTGCAGTACAATATCTATTGCAGCGTGTAAATCAAATGATTATGGATCAACAACGTACTCGACAAGTCGAAAATTATCGTCGCGAGGATTTGGAGATGGCTGGTGTAGCAATCAATGATGTGATTGTAGATAAGTTATGCACATATGAAGAAGCAAATGATGCCGATCTCATTAATTTACTTAACTCGAAAATATCATTAAGTAAAGATCGTAAGCAAACAATGTTAGTTGCTCGTCAGCAGCGTCTTAATCACAAATCGTTTACTGTTAAAGTTGATGTAACTTCTGATCGTAATCAACGTGTACTTATGCGTACAGTCTTAGTACCAAGTATGGAAGACGAACAGCAACGTCAAAACTATATTGTATTAGATACAACAGTAATTGATTTGATTGCTGGTCGTAATATGATACAACGTAAATCTAAGGATATAACATGGACTGCACGCGATACTTTGCCATACACAGAAATGTATCAACGTGTTATGATGGCAATTGATGGAGAAATCGATATGCAACCTAAGACTATTAATAGTCAAAAATGTAGATTTCCACATCGTCTGTTGTTACCACGCGGTCGCGTTGAGGGCTTACCAATGCAATTAGTTGTTATTTTAACACCAATGGAAGATGATGTTCCACAAAGTGATGACACAATTTGTGGTCTGGGACTTGGAAATTTGAAAATGGAACGATTACCATTGGGATTCCCATTAGATCGACCAATTGATAATTTGGAAGAAATATTGAGTGTATCCAATTTAAAAGTAAAAAATGTTTTGATATATCATGATAAATAAGAATATATGAAATTTGACGGTTGATTCTTAAAGATTTGTGAAAAAAAAAATAAAAAAAAACAAAAAAAAAATAATTTTATGTATGAATTAAATAAATTAGAATAAATTAAAATTGAACATTATGCAATAAAGCATCAGAAGTAATTCTTTTATTTAACAATTGATATTAAAAACATGATTTCCTTATCTATATTAAGAAGTATGTCTAGAACTTTGCTACTTTAAGTAGATTTAGCGTAACATGTTTGAAAGCACGTCATTTAAGCACTTACCAATGCATGTATATTATTCACAATCGATGCCTTTATTGTGGTAATTTCATCACTCACCCTTCAGTCCACCAATAGCATTCTCTTGATGATTCTATCTATCTTACTTTAACGACTGATGGACAATGTTGCAGTGATATATTCATAAACATGCATATATCCTTAAAGTGATTCGAATGATTATATTAATGCTGTTATTTAATAATATATATTATTAAAGTTCTGAAATATATGGAATTATAGTTTAATGTTAATAACAACAATATTTAATTTTAAGATGTTGCTGTGATAATTCTCTTTGGAAACCACAGGTAAACGATATTGCCATAATAGTAGAAAAATTATAAAAACCTTAGCATGATATTTTTGCTTATTTTGTTTAATTTAGACTTTTCATTTATACTATAACATACTTTTAGTATTGTAAATTTTCAGATACTCATTCAAATAATTAGGGTACAGGGTATTAGGGTATGTAACTGTCAAGCGGAGTCAAAAATTCCCAACGGTTCTAATAAAAGCATTTTTGTAATATTTTTGGTATACATCGTTTAAATAAAAAACTATATCTTTTGAAAAATGATAAATTATTATGTTGAAATAAAGCTTAACTTCGATATTCTTAACTAAAATTAAATAAATTAGCAAATCAGTTCAACAATACTGATAACATTTAAACTCAAGTAAATTAAATCAATTAGCATATTTTTATGTTCTTTTTGACAAATTGAAATGTTTTATAAAATTTAATGCTTCTGACATAAATATATTTATATATGTTTATTCATATAAAATATTTTAATATTATCAAATAAATAAATTTTTGTTTTTATTACCATTAATCATATATGTTATATATTTATATAATAGACTCGTACATCGTTATATGAAAATTATTCTAAAGACCTATAATATATTAAAAAATAAATTTGTGTTATCTTTGAGATTAAAGTTCAGAATTATATAAATCAGTTCATTAATCTTTTTGAAATAAATAGAATGTTTGCTCACACATGAAGATTAAAGTATGTAATTATTTAGAATTAACTATAAAAACTATATATTTAATTATTTTCAGAAAGAAATGTTATTTTGATTATTTCTTCACGTTTATATACCATATACGTAACACTTCGTTCAATAATGTGTGTGACTAACTAATTAAAACACATTTTTTTGCCACTATTCGTTTTTATTCATCAACATAGTCCGCTTTTAGGGAGATACAATCATTCCAACACTTTTGCAATCTTTCGATACCGTCTTTGTAAAACGATTTTTCTTTGCCTTCAAAATAGATGTTAGTTTCGGCGATTACTTCATCATTTGAGCCAAATCTCTTGCCACGGAGCATCTTTTTGAGGCCTGCGAAGGTCCAGTAGTCGCTGGGGGCCAGATCTGGAGAATACGGTGGGTGCGGCAGCAATTCGTAGCTCAATTCGTTCAATTTTGCCATCGTTTTCATCGACTTGTGACACGGTGCATTGTCTTGGTGGAACAAAACTGTTTTCTTCGCGATATGAGGCCGTTTCTCTGCGATTTCGTTTTTCAAACGCTCCAATAACGCTATATAATAGTCGCTGTTGATGGTCTTCCCCTTCTGGAGATAGTCGATGAATATTATTCCATGCGCATCCCAAAATACAGACGCTTTGGGCGACTTTCACCGGCTGCATGCCACTCAGCAGACTGCCGATTTGACTCTGGAGTGAAATGGTGGATCCATGTTTCATCCATCGTGATGTACCGATGCAAAAACTCCGACTTATTGCGCGTAAACATGTCCAAACAGCTCTTTGAATCACCGATTCGTTGTTGTTTTTGCTTCGGTGTGAGCAAACGCGGCACCCATTTGGAAAACACCTTTTTCATACCCAAATGTTCGTGTATTATGGTGTGTACACTGCCTGCTGATATTTTATTAAAAAACAATGATAAATCAGCACACGGAATTGCTTTGAATTCATTTTTTTTTGAAAACTCAAAAGTAGCGTCATTTAAAGCACTATAACTTGTAAACAAATAGTCGGATTAACATATGATTTTGACAGTAAGCCTAAAAAGGTTGCCACTTTCGAAAAAAAAGTATTTATTAGTATTAGTGCCGCCATCTATGTTTCAGTCACACACATTATTGAACGAAGTGTTATATATCCCAATAAAGGAAAGCAGAAGAGTCTTAATGCTACGGTCTCAATAATTAAAGGGCCCCCAATTCATTTCAATTATTTCAAGGAAGTGTAGTAACTTCCTTATAATGAAGAGTAACTTTTTCAACAGTTGGTAAATTAAGATCTTTGTGTAGGGTTTTGTTTTTGACATACCACGGAGCGCACGTAGCTTGTCGGAGAATTTTATTTTGTTCTCTCTGGATTTTTTTCTATATTTGTGTTATATTTATGCTGAACACCATAGTTCTATACCATAGGTCTAAATTTTCTTTAATATTAATTTTTAAATTAACAATTTGTTATCGAGACTGAATTTAGAGTTGCGACATAGAACCTAGTACAATTCTTTATATTTGAGATTTAATTGGCATCTTTTAAAATCTTTAAAAAATTTTTATGAGTGTTTTCACCCGCAAGAATTGATTTCAGGCTTGGAAACTTTTAAATCTACATTCTCAATTTTATTAGCCGTAGTACATGTTCTTGGTCTGCTATTATATTTCTTTTTTAGCGCTAAGTCCACTTTAATGTACATTATTCACAATTAGCGTATTTAGATATCATCCGTTATTCAGATGCATCATTACTACAAAGTTATACATACTTATACAAGTTAAACATAATGGAAGGCTAAAATGTTAGTCCAATCGCAGCGCATAAAGTGATTAACTCCACGCTTACTAATAGAGCAATGAAGCAAATTTTTGACCTGTGTCCCCTTAGGGAAAGAGGAATACCATAGTTTAGACAAAAAAAAAGCAAAATATGTTGATTTAGTATTTATTAATTTAAAAACACTAAACAATAAAAAGATTGGAAAAGAAATGCTACGAATGGGGTGTGTTAGAGAGAAATGATTCGGGAAGCAGTGTTTTATCCAAACTGTCATGATAAGAAAGAAGACTATATATGAAGGAAAAGAAGTCTTTAGATATAATCGATAATATTACTTTTTTAATTTAAAAAATTTGCCTTTTTTGTTTTAATTGTTATTAAATAAATTATTTTATAAGAAAAAAACATAAATGATATATAATAAGCTTCACTTACTTATTATTTACTTTAGAAATAATATTTAATAAATACACAAATCACTTATTTCTATCTATGAAAAAATAATATCGGAAAATATTTTTAATGAACATTTTTAATTAAACTTCTGGTTGATTAAATATTTTAATTTTTCAAAAATTTGCAATCAATTTCTCATCTCATCATCATCGACATTGATGAATTTCATGTAAAAACCTAAAATGGTGTTGCTCTGTTGTGTTGACAATTCTTACATTGTCTCTGGGGTAGCAAATGAAAACAATATAACCACAAAAACAAAATGGCTAAGAGCTAACAACAACAAAAACAATAACATAATAAGCTTTTCCGCCTCATATTATGTGTGGCTTTAGCTGGCTTACAGCAGGCATTATTTTTTACATCAACCACAATATTCTGCCTCAAAATGATTCACATGCACGAACAGCACGAACAGCACGAAGTTGCAGTGACTTAATTGGCCGTAAAAAATTTAAAATGAAAATATAATCACAATTTCCGTTGTCAATGATGAGAACAGTAAGACCGTGCTATGTAAGGTTATATGCGAGGTAGTAACACCTTCTTTCCGGGCCATGTTATCGCCATGTTACTGGAAACACTTCGACACTTTGTCCTCTGCAGCATGTAAACACCTTACCTGTTCCTTTGCTATTGAGTCAAAAGTACTCGCCCAGTTCTCAGCAGACATTTAGCTCCAGGCTCCTTTTGTTATTGTTGTTGACGTTGATAGCATTTTATATTCGCGTATAATATAGACGTTAGTATTTTAATGAAAAATTTCGTACTACTGTCTCTGCTCTGCTCAATACTGCTGCTCTACGGGCTCACTTCTCGGCGTTTTCATTATTTTCAAGAGGCTGGCAAAATAATGAGTTTTTGTCTGATCCTGGATACAAGATTTTTCCTCACTATTATTTTGTTATTATTTTTGTAGCCTTTGTGTGTGTTTCAATATGTTGCATTATATTGTTTACGTGTTTCGCCGAGAGCATAATTTGAAGGTGAAAAGGATATATTTGGTGTTAGAAATATACAATTTTATTTAGTTTTGTCGCAAGGATAATAAATAACTTTTATATAATTTTTAGAGTATTAAATAATTAATTAAGCGGCAGATAAGAGAAGGAAAATTAATCCCAATAATAAAATAAAAATATCATTTATAGATATGTATATTGATATATGCTCATTGTAGTTAACGCCACTAACAGTCATAAGCACCCGTCTTATATTGTTTCCAGTGCTGGTGTCTTTATGCCACTATTGAAAATTGCCTACACAATCATCATGCATTGTTGCTACAAATTGTTGCAACTGTTTATGTCAATAACTGTTAATATCGCATCTATAGAAGCGAAGAAATGAACTACAACAACAAAAATTCTTTTTATATTATTTTAATTAATTGAATTTTTGCTTGACCATACAGCTGTTTCGAGTATTGCCAAATATCCATCATCAGTGGTCTTGAAAATAATTCTTGTATTTAATTATTCGTAAATAATTTTTTTGAGACTGCAAGTACCAGGAATCGACTT